GCATTTCAGCCTCGGAGTGTTGAACCAGTACTTGCAATCACTGACACATTCTGGACAGCGGAGACATTTAGCCAAATCAATCACAGCAACGAATACGACACTATGTATTGGTACACCAGCCAGCTCTTTGATCCGGACTGGAAGCCGCGCGATACTCTGGAACATGCACCAGCTGCAGAGTGGTCTCATTGACACGTTATCGAGTTTCTTGCGCTGGCTCTGCTTGGACGAAAGCGATGAGGCTCTGGGGAAATGGCGGCACGCCTGGATCATCTGCCACCAAAGACTGCAACGTCAGCGTATGCATTACCCCCGGAAGTGTACCATCGGGTATGCTTAGGGCTGTGGTAAGGCAGCTTTCCATTGGGCCAGAGACGGCATGGGCGTATGCGCTGCCAATAATCCCGGGCGCACTTATCATGGCGTGAATGTTGCGGACCGGAAGAAGGAGGGGTCGCGACGACTGTGCGGCTGTTCATTGGTGTTACAGCACGGCTGCATCATGCAGGATTCTCTTCTCGCGCATCTAGCCCACAAAAGAACAGCCTGGGAAGGCAACTGCGTGATTGGCGCTTGTTGAGCCGCATTCATCCCTCTAGATGGTTAAATTGAGCCTGAGGTTGTGATGTAAGTCGAGGTCATGGAGTTGATCCAGAGGTAATTCAGTCACGGTCTAGTAACGAAATCATATACCAATTCATACTCAATAGCTCTTCAACACAATGACGCTCGCACCAGTCTCGACTTTGCGGACCACTCACCACCCCCTGCACCAGCAGTTGAAGAGCACTTCTGCCCTTCGTGCGGTGCGAGTCCAGGAGTGGCCTCAGGTCTTGCGAGGTGACCTTGCATGGGACAAGTCAACCCTGCTGTCCGTTGAGGATACTGTCTTGACTCTTAACGAGGTCGAGATTGAAGAGGTTAAAGCGGCCCTTAAGCACTTCAACGGTGAGTTTGCGATCCATAGCGACATGCTCTTATGCATACCAACGAAACTGACCATGGTAGAGCTTGGTTTATATGGAAGCGAGGTGTCTGCGAGCAAGTTCCCGCTGCCAACTCTTGGCCAGAAACTGCATCAAGCAGCTCTTGACATCCACCGTGGCAAGGGCTTCGCCATCATCCGTGGCATGGACCCAGAAGACTTCTCTCCTGAAGACAACCTCATCATATTTCTTGGAATTTCAAGCTATATCGGTAGCTTGAGAGGGAGACAAGATGAGGACGGCAATATGCTGAGTAGGTTCCCCTTCCCAACCTGAGTTTTTACCCCTTTTCCAGATTCCCCCTATTCTGTCTGGTCCAAAGTGCTCCTGTTCCACAACAAAGAGCTAACAGAAGTCTCTGCAGTGCACATTCGTGACGCCAAACGCTCTAAAGAACCTCAGAAAGACAGGCCAACGCGGTATTCCTCGCGAGCTTCCGTAAGTAAACCAGAGTCTTATTTCTACGACAAGACATCCTTCCGCTAACTCGATCGACCCAGACTTTTCACACAGACGCTTTCTGCGATATACTTGCCCTGCAGACTCGAGATTGTGCCTCCCGTGGAGGGCGGAACATTCTTGCTTCCTCCTGGACCGTCTACAACAAGATTGCAGCCACTCGTCCAGACCTGATCCAGCTCCTTGCCGAGCCGATCTGGCCATTCGACAGCCGTGGACGTTTCTTCGAAAGCAGCACCAGACCGCTTCTGTACTATCACGGGCAGAAGATGATTCTCAACTTTGCACGAGAGCCTCTCCTTGGACTTGATGGAGTCCGCCGTGCACAGGGTCTTGCCACGCTGTCCGCAAAGCAGCGCGAGGCACTCGATCTTATCGAGGAAATTGCCAGCGAGAACCAGCTGACTGTGAGTGCACTACCAGGAGACATGTTCTTCATCAACAATCACGGTATTCTGCACTCGCGAGAAGCATTTGAAGACAAACCGGAGAATGGCCCCTCTCGATACCTGGTGAGAATGTGGCTGAAGCATCCGACGCTGGCTTGGAAGCTGCCGAGGGCACTGCAAGAGGGTAATTCTCGCATCTATGACGATAATGAGCTCGGTGAGCGCTGGAACATTGTTGATGTGCCCAAGGTTCAGTTCCGTCTGAGCGAAAGACTCACTTCCTAAGCCCTACCGCAGAGGCTTGGGGCGAAGAGGTTGAGGCATCCCGTACACAGGTATGACCAAAATTTGAACGAAATTATGAAATGATGACAAACGATTCGACTGGTTATGAGACATCGGGCGTTATGGGATAGTTAGCAGGGGTGCCTTTGCTGAGACTACTGGTCCGAAGGGATTGACTGGTTTATGATCGATGCGTGTGTACAACAAATTGTCAGCTTTTAACACTTTCGGGTGTCCCACGCTCCAGTGTGAGCCTGATCGAGCGGAAAAGTCTCCCCAAAATGGATGAGCTGCGCTTTTTGCCTGCTGCTACCCTGTGTAATTCCGCATTAGTCTTGTTCTTCAATCTGATTTAGGTCTCTCATAGGACAAGCAGAGCCTCCTCGATACTCTGCATGACTTGATGACGTAGCTGGTATTTGATTTGACACACCCAACGGTCTACTTTGATAGCTCCACCGTCATCTCTGCATGGGATATGCGGTGAGGTGACGAGATCAGGAAGTTGCAGGGGGTAAGCGGATCACGGGGGCGGCATGCGGCTCTGCTGAGAGTCGGCTGCCCCGGCGCCCGGGGGAACGCAGGGGTTGTGGAAGGCCCCTTGTATCCGGGTGGCGGATGGGTTTATAGTGGCTGGTTCGTCTATCAGTGTCCTGTCTTCTCGTGCTGAACTTTACAACACATCTTGCACAACACCCCTTTATTCAAAGGTCGACTAAGATGGAACTTAGCAGCAGTATCTTCGCCGATGTACTTAGTCCGCTGGCTATCTACATAGATGACAATGATAGCGAACGCGAAGCGCTGGAAACAATACCCGAAAACAACTCAGGGCCACCATCATTTCGCTCCCGTCATGTCAGCATCAATGGCGATACTACTCCGGAGACATCAAGATGGAAGTTTGGTGGAGTAGATACCGACGGCACCCGCTTCTTCGTTGTACCAACCTTTGCCATCGGCACGCCGCCAATGCGAGTCGACGTTTACATCCGTCCACCAGAAGAACATTCGCTTCACGTAAGACGAGCGCTCAAGCCCGAGGCGGCCATGTACGCTACCGACAAGAAAACAGCCATCAACCTCCCCGTTACGCAGCATCTGTTACAGGCATTAGACCACTGGTCTTCTTCTCTACCTGGTTTGAGGGACATATACCTCTCTCTCCCCTTCGGCTCTCAGATTGCCGTCACTGAACTCACCCTCGACCCGACCGAAACAGCAGCTTCCATACAATTCATGCCAAATTACGAAGTCGAGCAGGCAATGATGAGCCTCGACAGCCTTCAACAGATGTGGCCATCCGACTTGTGCTGGCCAGCAACAATAGACACGACCGACCTCCTTTGCTGCTCCCAAATCCATGAAGCCATCACCATCGTCACCATCCCGTGCTCACCGCACCCAGACCGCGAATACGTCTTCAAGTCCCTACTTCGGGAACAAAAGTACCTCTACAACGAACTCAAAATGCTCCTCACCCTCCAGCCGCACGACAACCTCATACCCCGCCCTCTATACATCGTCACGCACAAGTGCCGCTTCGGCGGTAAAAGCGGCGTCGCGGGATTCATACTCGAGTATTACCCCCTCGGTTCCCTAGCCGCCCGCCTCCCTTCCTCGAAACCCAATTTATCCGACCAGTTTCGCTGGGCGCGCCAGATCGCCTCCGCCCTGATCCACGTCAACAACTCCGGCGGCTTCTACCCAGACCTCAAGCCAGACAACATCGTCCTTCGCCGGACCCCAAAGGGCGAAATCGACGCCGTCCTCATCGACCTCGAGCAGCGCGGCGGGTGGTTCAGCTGGTCGCCCCCCGAGATCGCCTATGTCGAGTACATCGAGATACTTGCCTCCCGCGCCCCCGACTGTGCGACGCGGGACGAGTTCACCACGCTGTTGCGGGGCTACATACCGGACTGGAGGGCTCCGGCGCAAAAAGAGCGCTACAGAGATGTCACTGGCGGGTTCAGCGCGCCGTGGCTTGCTCTCGCGGCGGAGCGGGCTGCTGGAGGGGCGTTGTCGACCCTGCTGGAGCGCGCGCAGACGTTCATGCTCGGGAAACTGCTCTGGTGCATCTTTGAGGGGCGGGCGGTGGTGGGGTGCGGGATCGATCATGAATTACTGCGAGACCCGGATCCGGAATTCGGGGGGACGGGTGCTTTTCCCGAGTTTAGGGAGACGCCCGTGCAGGTTAGGGACTTGATCAGGGCTTGTACGGCTGGGGCACCGGAGTGGGAGGGTAGGAAGCGGGGGTTGGTGTTGAGGAAGGGAAAGCTGGTTCCTGATGCTTGGGATGGAGAGGGGGATGTGCCTTCAGCCAAGGAGACTAGAGAAGTTGCTCGGAGATGGTGGACGAAGGAGGTGACAGTTGCAAGGGAGTTCCTTGGCGAAGTCACCGACGCGAGCAAGGGAGGGAGAATAGTGGCCGGAAGTGTATTGGGGCATGCTATGAACCGTCCGTTGCTAAGCGAAGTATTGCTCGCACTCGAGCGCATTGAAAGCCTCGACATAGCGTGGTAAGAACGTGTATATATATAGAAACGATGACTTAGGACGAACCTTAACTTCAATTTTAGACTGTGTGATTTGGACCCTGGTATTCCGTTCGTACCACTGAAAATAGAGAACTGCGATGAGAAGGGACCTTTACAAAAAACTTTAAACTGTGTAGACACAACATCTGTCGATGTTTACAATATTATCCCGAGCGATGTAAGGTGTCTAGGGTGGAGCCATTCCTTATGGTGGAAAGGCACATTGCACGAGCGAGGAAGTCGCTAAGCATAAGCTACCCCTAGAGCCTGGTCTCGACCATAGAGTTAGGTCATGTAGCCCTGATAATTCCTTGGCATCACAGACAAGGACAAATCTCCTCTTCGGTTTCGTAGTGTAGTGGCTATCACGGCGGATTCTGATTCCGTCAACCCCGGTTCGATCCCGGGCGAGACCTTTTTGCTCTTGGGAAGAATTCATTTTTCTCATTCTGTTCATTTTCTGTCTTTTGGTAAGGGGTTTGTGTTTTTTTCATAAGATGATGCAGATTTTGCGAGCAACAAGGGCACATCACGAAGGCACTTTGCGCAAGAGATGGCAATCATTGAATGGAATGAGAACTATTTCCTTGTCGAGCTTTCTGATAATAGCAGCAAAAGTAGAATAGCAAAAATAAGAAGTCGTGATTTGTTGGAAATCTGAAGAACTTCTCCCATGATCTGATCTACGCAGGGATCGAACCTGCAATCTTTCGGTTCGAAGCCGAACGCCTTAGCCATTGGGCCAGTAGACCGCGATGAAGAGCCTGGAAGAGTGGGCTGCTTGACTCGGGATGTTCAGAGGGGCCGTAATACCGCAGTAGGAGCTTGACAAGGGGCGTACAAGTAGCCCACTTATTCAAAAGGTCCACAGGTCAAAGAATCCACCCCTTAGGCAGCCCCCGAGCAACTGGTGATGAAGTGATGCTTCAAACAAAGTTAGCTCGTGATCGTGCCATTGCCTTAGCCACGATACAGAGCTGCGATCCGTTTGCCAACAGCTTCGCCGCTCAAGTATGCACCAGCAACGGTTCCGCATTCCTCAAATGGGGCCGCGTGCTCGCCGCAGAACCATAGCTTCCTCTCTTCGCAACCATTCTTGATGGCCAGGAGATCCTTGTCGGCTTCCTCGACTCCCGTCTGAAAGTTGCAGTAGCTTCCGTAGCCATTCAATTCATCTTTAAGCCACTCGGTAGCCAGGATCGCTTTCGGGACACATTGATCATTGTCGGCGTTGTACCCAGGAAGTCGTGAGTAGTATGGCCGAAAGAAGTCATTAAGCAGCTGATATTTCTCTTCCTCGCTCTTGCCATTGATCATATGGACGATATAACGAGAACAATCCCCGTATAGGTAGAAGAGCAGGGTTGCGTGGTTGTTTGGCGAAGCAAATGTGGACAGGTCCCATATCTCTTGTGGCCAGCACGACGGGTTCGTGTCCTTGGCATACTCAGGTGTAAGCCAGTTGGTGTAACATGGGAACTTGTCCTGGCTGGGGTCTTCAGTCCACCAGACGGATGGAAAATTGATGAAGACCTTCTCCAGTTGAGAAAGAGAGATGTTGCCGACTGCGGCTGCGATTCTGTCCGGCAGCGGAGGCGAGAAGACGTCGAGGTGCTTCTTCAACCAGCCCAGTGGCGTGGTCATGACCACATCGTCGAACAAGTAAGTCTCACCATCCTCGGTACTCAGAATCACCTTCTGCTCCCTCGTCCTGGATTCAGGAGTGGCCACGCCCATGACCTTCTTTCCAAGTAGGATCTTTGCACTGTCCAGGGCTGGTTTCGCGATAGTATTGAATATGGCGGAATAATTTGACTCGACGAACATCTCATCTGTAGAACGGTCAGTCAACTTGACATATCACGAATTCTGAAAGTGTCATACCGCCACCACAACATTCCTCCATCCAGGCAAAGCGCAAGCTTTGTTTCCACACGGGCTCGCCGACATAAGCACCGAACATCTCACTCATCTGGATCAGGAGTTTCCGTTCTTCGTCATCGGAAACCACTTCACGAGCTCTACGTGTGATGAAGTCGTGCAAAGAGTCTTCCTTGGGAATCTCCTCGCCGCCATTTTTCTGATGTGCTGCTTCGCTGAAGTTGAAGGCTTCCTCGATGATCTCCCAGAGCAGGGTCGACAGCCTCTCGGTGACCTCGTTAGGCAGGACATCCCCTTTGGAGTCAAAGATGAGCTGTTTGTTGTTCCAGCGATGCAATGGAGTCTTCGTGTCCACAGCAAGCTTGTATATGGGATGCGGGTCCTCTGAATCCCTGTATGCATGGATCCAATTCGGTCCGCTACGCACTTGTAAGTCATCAAGCATCATAGACTTGTCAAGAACCGTCTCACATGTCCACAGTATACCCTAGCCCATCAGACTGGCAGATCTGTTGATGGATTAGCTCAATTGCGCATCAGATCCCAAGGGGTTACTTACTCGTCCTCCTATCCTGTTACGCGCTTCCAGAATGGTCACCTCGAATCCCTGTGAGAGAAGAATGTCCGCACAGCGAAGACCGGAGATGCCAGCTCCCACAATACCAACGTGAGGCCTGTTCTCCGCAGTAGCCCCGTTCAGCAAAGACATTGTAATCCTCGCACAATCTTGTGAATGGAGTGCAACTGCTTAGAGAGGAGGATATAGTAGCTATCGAGAAAGTGTGCGGCATATGGAGAGCGGACGCGAATATATATAGCTAGATCAGCAATTATAGTGTTGAGCTGACAACTGACTGACAACTGAGCGCGCTTGACGCGCGCATCAGATGTTCGACCGCGTTCTGCTCCTGATCAAATTGGCAAATCCATTTCGAGCACTTGGAGTCGGATACCGCTTCGAGAAGGTGATGATTCCATCGAGGCTCACACTTGGGCAGAATCGCAAAAGGTCTTGGAACTCATGGCGCTGTGGCAGTGCTCGATTACCGGCTGTCAGAGGATCCACGCGGCCCGAGCAGGCGGTCCAGCGGCAGGTTCCAGTTGGTCGGATCCACTCTTTAGCACGCCAGCCGTCGCAAAGACCTTCCTCAGCAGGGCTAGCGAGTTTGGACTCTGCATGAGGCGCCATGGTCTTCTCCGCGCTGCTCGATACGCTGACGAGCATGCGCGACATGTTGACAACGCATCTTTCGGGTGACATGCATAGAAGAACCTGCGCTGCGCGGTATTGATATAGTATCGATGAACGCCTCGCGAAGCGCCTGGAGATGGACATTGGCAGAGACGGGGAAGGGGATAGTTCTACACAACGTGACAAAGCTGCAGAGACAAGAGCGACAAGCAACGCCGAGTGTCGAGGCATTCTCACCACCAATTCCTAACTCCTAGAGTCTAGTAGGCGTTCCTCCAACGCCACCTCTATGTCTAGCATGTTGCGGATACAGCTGCCAAAGAGCTCCCCTATGCAGTTGTTGCTCCCGTGAGCTGAACCTGGTAATCCAGCCCCCGACTGACATCAGCAGTCAGCGAGAACGGATCGTACAAGTACAACGTATCGGGGGTGTTCACGACCACCAACGTTGCCTCCTCACCAGCGCCAACCACGGCTTGACCACTCCCCTTCGACAGGACATAATACCTCAACGCTCCTCCCGCCCCCCTAACCACCAGTGTTGACGTAAACGGCGCGTTCGCAGTCACATTGACACCAACTGTTCCAGTCCCCTTCAGCGGTATGATGCTGGCGCCCATGTACCGCGGCTGCCTCGCTGCCTTCACCTTATACCTTCCATTTCCCTGCGAGTCCAGGTTCGCATAATTCAAGCTCTTTCTCTGGCTCACGAACTGTGCCTGCGCCTTGGCATGTCCAATGTCCACATACGCCATCCTGGCCCAATATCGTGCAACCACCTCCTGGATCTTCACAGGACTGACCAACCGATCAAGAACATGCAGCGGCGTCTCATTACTATTTCGCTTATACTTGGTCCACACATTCGGGAAGATCTCGTGTCCTAGCCCCGTATAGTTATCGGGATTATTGAACAGATACACCAAAAACGGCCACGCCTGATAGTAGTTGCCCGTGTTCTTCGACCCGTCGACAATAACCTGGTACGAGTCGCCAATCACTTTACCGAGGTCGATCATCGTCTTGCCTTCGGCCTGGCCGTATCGTGCTCGGGCCGCGGCGCAAACGGGAGAGGTGATGTACGTGTCCGCCACGAACTGCGCAACCGTCTCCCACCACGCGCCCGTGCGGCCTTGGTCGATCCAGTACCGTGCCGCGTACGTCATGGCATGGCCAAACTCGTGGACCGTAATGGACGGCTCCGTCATGTACTGCGTGACCACGTTCAGGAAGCTGAGCCCGGATGACTGGTCGGTGCCGGTGTTAGCTGCTGCACCGGGGAGGGTCTCGACGCGGTACACGTTGAGCTTGTAGAATGGGCCATCGTCATTGTCTTGACGGAACGACAGGCCGGTGGATCGCCATCCTAGGTCGCCGACGAAGCAGGAATAGGCAGACTCCAAGCTCTTGATGGTGGCGTCGGCAATGCTGTCGTTTGGCGCATTGTAGACGCGAAAATGGGGTGAGTCCTTGTAATTTGTGCCGCCAGGTCCGACTTTGGGATTGGCCTGGAAGTCGGAGGGGGGTGTTGCTGCAAATGCTTGCCAGGCGGCAAAGCAACTCGATGCCAAGAGAATGTGTAAATACATTGGAACGAGGTTTACGACGGTGCCGTTTGCAGCCTGTGGTTTCGGAAGCCTTTGTAGGTGTTTGGACCTAGAAAGAAGTTTTCGGTTCCCTGAAGAGTTGCAATCATATAAGACTCGGTATTTTGCCTATTGTATAGCTATATCCTCGATGCAGGTATAACAGGGTGTGATATAGGAACAAGATCATTGTGCGGCAGTTGGGATCCGGGGTAAGCAGGGATCTCAATAGCCAGATTTACAAAAAGGTGAAAGCAGCGGTTCTAGATAGCATAGAAACGCCATCAACACCGTACTCTAAGATTGGACCTGAAGAAGATATTTTCTGGCTGCTGGCCTGCTTGTGGACCCGTGACACATGTGCTGTGGCGTTAATTGCCGAAGACATCTAACTTGTCTTCAATGGCTAAACCACTTGGCTCGCAGGTAGGGTCTTTGGGACATGCCAGAGCGTAGATGAATTCGTAGCTGCTCTTTGTGCCGGCCTTCATACTAGGTAACGGACCACCAATATCTTGACGTCCACAGTGATGACATGTGAAAAGAAGTCTCCAAGAAGGTGACGAGCATGACCAGATGCACAATGGTACCGATGAGGATTGTCCCTGTGAAAGACATAGGCTCCTTCTTGTTGCCGGTAGCACTAGACGGTCACCGTTAAGTCTCACAGGTTCATTCCAGAATGTCAGCCTCGATTATGACGCAAGAATATAACACAAGTGTTGCCGCCTTCAAGAAGTGTTGGCTGACATGAACT